GCATTTGTTGTGTTTCTGAGTCTAGTTGATGCGATTACTTTACGTTTTCGTCGTACTTGAACGGTCGTCAGTACTGGCACTGACTACATAGGATAAGAATAACTACAAGGGTAGCCACTTATCTGATATACTCTCAGACATCGAGCCCAATATCTCGCCTCAGAATCGTTGCAGAGCAATAAATTTCACATCGCCTAATAGTATGAACTTCCTATTTCGAAAGAACATGGGTTGTTCACCATTTGGGCAATTCTCGTGACACACCACGAACTATGTTTATCCAAAATTCCATTTTCGAAAGAGGCGCTAACCTGGCCTCCTCGATCGTTCAAAAACACTCCATCAGGGGGGAGGAACTGGACTGGAATGAGGCGCTTTCAAAGCAACGCGATGAAACACACGATACGGTTGAACGCAGCCAAGTTCAATACTTTAAAATTAAAAAAATTGGTATGATTGTCAAAAGCTAAATATTATAGTAAGTAAATAACGTTTTTGTTCTAATATGTAAGGAAAAGTTCATAAGGGACGGACCATTAGATATTTGGGGGGGGCAAAAACCAAAAATAAAATATTCGAGCACAGAAAAAAATCCAGAAAAAAAAATCGTGCACAACAAACGTATTGAAAAAGAAAAACGAGCAAGAACTAGAGCTGAATTTTAAAATCGTAATACAATTGATTTAAAACATTAAAACATTAAAATGGTCTTTTACAAAATACCTTGCCAACAGTTGAGGGATGATGCACAAAAAAATTGTCCAACCCCCCTCCCCCCTCCTCCAAATATCTAATGGTCCGTCTCTAACAAGATATTTCTAATTTTCTCACACTTCTAAAAATAGGACTTAATTCAATACTTGTTTATTGTCGATTACAGCATGATAAAGTAATCATTTCTATTTCTATCGTGTGTTTTATCGTGTTGCTTTGAAAGCCCCTCATTCCAGTCCAGCTCCTCCCCCCTGATGGAGTGTTTTTGAACGAGGAGGCCAGGTTGGTGAGCCGCTCTCGCGGCAATGATCATGGGGTTAGCACCTCTTTCGAAAATGGAATTTTGAATTTTGGATAAACAAAGTTCGTCGTGTTTCACGAGAATTGCCCAAATGGTGAATAAACCATGTTTTTTTGAAAGAGGAACGTTTATACTATTAGGCGATGTGAAATTTATTGCTTTGCAACGATTCTGAGGCGAGATATTGGACTCGATGTCGGAGAGTGTATCAGATAAGTGGCTAGCCTTGTAGTTATTCGTATCCTATGTAGTCCAATACGTTAAAGTACGACGAAAACGTAAAGCAGTCACATCAACTAGACTCAGAAACACAACAAATGCATTCTATTAACAAGTGAGATATATTTTTTAAATATATATATTGTTAATATTTTTTTAATTATTTCGTTATTTAATAATAATAATATTATAACGGTTAAATATTTCGTATAAATTTTCAAAATATATAGACCACTCAGAGATTGGGCCACCTGTGTGTCGTCTTGAACACATGTGACTGGTGCACGGTATGACGATTTACTTCTTCCATGTGCAGAGGTTTATGGTGGGGCTTCTTGCATAGACTACCATCTTATCTCCTTTCAAGGCATTCTCGTTTGCGCAGACAGTTAGTGGCCGTATGCCCCTTGCTTCGTTTCGAACATGAAATGTTTCTCTTTGACTACTTTCCACCGCTCGAGCTCATTGATGGACATATGAACAAAAGCTTTGGGCACTCATCAAATAGTGTACCTGTTTGCATACATAGCAGGGTGTCTTGTTCCCAAACGAATTCTTATTCTGCGCAACAGTACCTATGGGTGATCGAACCTTTCGAATGGTTGCACCCGAGCGCAACCTGGCTGTCATTTCGTCTTCCATCCATTGTAACAGATTCTCCATGGACGGTTCCAATTTCTGAATATTAATTATGAATGTGGAGGGCCCAAACCTTTATATCATCCTTTGTCATTTTTCGCTCGATAAGTGAGATGACGTGACTACTGTTAATGTCCTGAGGCCGTTTAATCTCCTTTAAATTAATATATTGTAAGATCTTCTTACAAGATTGACTAAATCGCTAAATCGGTGATCTTCTCCCCCCCCCCCCTGTATAGGCTTAAATTTTTCGAGATCACCAGTTATTGTGTCTGAAATTATTCTTGTATCCCCATAGTTTTGATCTAAATATTGCCACATCACTTTCAAGTCAGTACGTATACCTTCAACTAACTTGGAGGGCTCTGGACCAAGGCACGAACGGAGTATATATAGTAATGGCATCCCTCTCTAAGCAGTGTGACTCAATTGCATGTTGAAAGTCGGCTTTGAATATAAAATACTTTCGTACATCGCCGACAAACTGAGCGAGTTTCGGTTTTTCATGCACATGAGGCTTATGTAAACCGGAAGTGGTTTCATCATCCTTAATTTCGTCATTTCTTGTTACTAAATTTTATTCAATTGATTCAGTTTCTAGATCAGGAAATTTTCTGCAAAGTCATGCTGCTCTGGGCCAGGGGGAGTTTCTTTCTTTTCATAGTCGTTAACAGTAATCATAAATTCAGTGTACTCACGCGCAATGCATATTTTAAAGATTTACAAGTGGGGGGGCCATATTAACTTGAAAAAGGGCCCATTGAGCAAGCGCCGAAGGGCACGAGTTTTGTGTGGGTCGGGTCCTCCCCCGGAAAAGTTTGAAATCAGGAGACTCCAAAATTGCTATTTAGTGCGTTTTGGGGGCATTTTAAATAATTCTGAATACAATAGAAAGTTAATGTTTAACACTTTTACTCGCAAGACTCGCACTGTGCTTGTCTTTCAATATATATCTTAACTCAAAGCTAGCTACTGTAATGTATCAAAACATCCAGACGAATCCCTAAGGCCTAAAGAATTAATTTTCTTCATATACTCTCATTAATTATATTAACTATGATAAAAATATACAGACAAAGGCTTACTATATACATTTCATGATTTCACACAAAAATGTGTTAAAAGGGCCAAAGGAGTGTGCGTGTGTGGGGGGTAATTTTGCATGAGTGGGGGTCCAACAGGAGGGCCTGGGGGACCAAATGCCCCCCCCCAGTATATATGTTAGAATATGCCTTGCTCGCGCGTGCACTGTTCCATCCAGTTTTCGGCTCCGTCGTATTCAGTATCGTCTAAGTACATTGTGTATTCATCGTGTTTACTACTGACCCAGATTATCGCACGCGGTCTTCACATAGTTTAACCGACGCGTGCATTTCGGCAGGCGAGCGTTCTGCTTTCAGCATCATTTTTCCAGTGTTTAGGGCTCGAGTCAATGCACTCTTTCCAGCTCTGCGAACGTCCTTTGCCTTTTCTTTATCTTTATTTTCCTGTGACATCTTTCAATTCGTTTAGTTAATCGCAAGATAACAAAAGTTTTCAGATGATGAAGCGATGAACCGACAAAACTCGAGTACAAACTTGGTTTTCAGCAGCGAGGTCGCCTGAAGCGACCGAGCAAGCCCCAGACCTAAACTTTGAAATAGGGGTTGAAATCTGAATTTTAACCAAGCGCGATGCATTATGGTCGCCGGTACTTTTTACCATAATGCACTTCGGTCTGCTTCTTTAATCCTTCACGTGCTTGTGATGGTCAGTGACGAACGTACAAGTGTTTGCCGAGACAAGTTGTAAATTCGAAGCGCTGTGACTGGGTTTCAAAGGCGAGCCTTTATTATAAAGGTTTTTGCTCTACTTTCAACATTTAATTAATGTTAATATTATAACATCACTGTTGCTCTTTTATTGTGTCTACTGTCTATATTGAGTGAAATATTCGACATGAGCTGATAAGCGCAGACTTCATATCGGATCGTATTACATTTCGGAATTTTAACAACAACATCTTGCAGATTTATTTATTTATTAATTAACTTTACAATCATACAAAAAATATAACAATGATTGAAGGTATGGTCAACAGGACATGAGTCCTATGTAAAGACCAACCTGATACAATACAATAAGTAGACATACATTAAAGACAAGGACTAGAACACTATTTACATAGCTATATAAAAATTAATAGTTTAGATTATGAGCAACAGCTTAAGTTGAAAGAACGGCATTTAGAGCAGTAGGTTTTCCAAGTGCGCATTCTGTTAACATCGAAAGAAGAGTCTAATTGAGAAGAGTAGTGAGAATGGAGCTGGAACTTAAAGGATGAAACAGACGAACTGTTACGAATGATTGGAGAGAGATTGTTCCATAGAAAGACAATTCGGTTAAAAAAAGAGTTTCTAAAAAGAGAGGTTTTGCACGGATTGACTTGAAGCAAGTTGTCCTTGTTTGAACGGGTGCGAGATGAGCGATTAGAAGAAAAGGTGACAAAAGAGGAGATATCTAGGTCGTAGAGGCCTTGTTTGCATTTGAAAAAAAAGATGAGATCCTTTATTTCAAGCCAGTAAGATATAGGCAATAAATTAAGTTTCCTAAGACGCTCAAGATAAGACAACTCATAATCTTGAAGTATAAATTTAGTAGCTCGTCTCTGAACACCCTCCAGGATCACAAGATCGCGTGACGAGGCTTGAGGTGCCCAGATCTCACTGGCGTAAGACAGGTGAGATCGAACAAGAGAGAGGTAGAGAAGCCGACGGCAGCGAGTATCAGTCATTTGAGAACAATTTCTCCGAAGAAAACCAAGCAAACGGTTGGCTTTAGCAGTACAGCTGGCAATGTGAGGGGACCACTTAAGGTCATTGCTCACAACCACACCCAGGTCGACTTGTTTGGCTACAGTCTTAATAGGTTGATTGTTAAGGTGGTAAGAGTGAGTTGGAGAGTTGCGTTTCCGAGATACCCTGAGCAAGAGCGTCTTAGATACATTAAATTTCAATTGCCAAGAGATCGATCAGTTGTGCATAGAGTCAAGATCAGTCTGTAGGAGATCTCGATCGGCTGGTGACAGAATTGCACGGTAACATTTACTGTCGTCAGCAAAAAGTGCAACAGTAGAATTCTTAGTTACCTCTGGAAGATCATTCACATACAAAATGAAAAATAGTGGACCTATGACACTACCTTGTGGCACACCAGATTTAACGTTAAGGAAGGATGAAGAAACTCCTTCGATAACGACACGCTGTCTCCAATTATGGAGATAATCAGCGAACCAGTTAAGAAGTTGACTGGAAATTCCAAAAGATTTTAGTTTAAACAAGAGTTTGCTGTGAGATACGGAGTCAAAAGCTTTAGCAAAATCAAGATAAAGAAGATCAATTTCATTGCCAGAATCAAGAGCACGACCGAGATCGTGAAACACATTCAAAAGTTGAGTAACACATGACCTATTGCAGCGAAAGCCATGTTGAATGTCATACAAAGAGTCCTTAATGGAAGAAGAAACCTGTCTAAAAATCAAGCGTTCAAGTACTTTTGAGACTTGGGAGAGTAATGAAACAGGTCTGTAGTTGGTGACTTCATGAGCGTCACCTTTCTTAGGTATTGGAACCACATTAGCAGATTTCCATTCAGAAGGAAATACACCCTGCTGAAGAGACAACTCGAAGATAACTGTTAAAGACGGAGCGATGACTTCGGAACAGCGCTTTAAAAGATATGCTGGTATGCCATCAGGCCCAGTAGCCTTAGAAGGTGACAAACTGAATAACAAAGATTGAACTTCATATTCAGAAACAGTTATTGAGTCATGAAAGTTTGATGATGACTGCGAAGGAGAAATTAAAGGTAAAGAAGAATTTGAGTCGGAGGTAAAAAATGACGCAAAATAAGTATTAAAAGCATTAGCCTTTTCTTCAGAAGAGAATATTTTAAGACCCCCTATCTTAATTACATCAGGTATGGAAGATTTTGAAGATTTAGACTTAAAAATCTCCAAAATGATTTAGAGTTATTGTATAAGGATTGAGACAGTCCAGATAAGTATTCTCTCTTCTTGGCATTAATCCAACATTTGACGTGTTGCCGAGTCTTGCGAAATTTCTCCCACAATTGAGGTGAGTTCTTAGCCTTTGCTTTTCTCCTTAGGGACTCCTTCATGTTGATGGCGTGAAGTAGATCCTGCATGGTGATCAGCCTAGACCTAGGCCTTCTAGTCTTATTTATATTTTTTAGTATTCAGCGGTTTTTCACATCAAAAGACTGGGACTAGGTGATTTGGGGGCGGGGCGGAGGAAAAAAGCCTAGAAGGCCTAGTTGATTTCCCAACAACAAGGCCAAAACTGCCCTGAAACTGCCCTGGTTGCAAAATGCCCAATTATTGCGTTCTCAAACAGAATTATTTGCAACTTAACGGCGAATTTAAACCGATACAGGTAAAATAAACTCATTTATAGTATAAACTTACTATTTTTATTTGTATACACGTCTAGAAAATCGTTTTTTTATCATAAAGTTCGAAGCAACACTATTATTTAATATGTTGACAAGGTGTAGCGAAAGAACAAAATGAGTCAAAATATATACCAAAAGTAGAATCTTTCATGAAATTTTGTCTTATATACAAGTACATTAATATATATTTTCTCAATTTTGGCAAGAAGCAGTCTTGTGTTTGTAAAATATACAAAATAAAACGGATACATATATTATTAGCCCGTACAGTACAGTACTGTATATAAAAACGTACATTGTTTATACAAATGGTACGTATATCTGTATTTTGAACACTAATTTCAAATTCCTCATTCCCAATTCGCAAATATAGTTATTCAAAGCAAAACAGTAGATTGTCTTGCGAATAAAAGAATTATTATTTTGTGCCGTTTCGCTACACCTTGTCAACATATATAAATAGTGTTGTTTCAAACTATGATAAAAAACCCGATTTTCTAGACGTGTATACAAATAAAAATAGTAAGTTTATACTATAAATGAGTTTATTTTACCTGTATCGGTTTAAATTCGCTGTTAAGTTGCAAATAATTCTGTTTGAGAACGCAACAATTGGGCATTTCGCAATCAGAGCAGTTTCAGGGCAGTTTTGGCCTTGTTGTTGGGAAATCCACTAGGCCTTTTATATTTTCGCTTGCGTCAGGCTTGTGTCCTTCCTCCGCCCCGCCCCCAAATTACCTAGTCCCAGTCTTTTCATGTGAAAAAGCGCTGAATATTAAAAAAATATAAATAAAAATAGAAGGCCTAGGTCTAGGCTGCATGGTGATTATATAAGGAGGCGTGAAGGAACGCTTGAGCGATGTTTTCGGAATAAAACTATCGGCAGCAGTAAGGAAAGCAGCTTTCACTTGGACCAAGCAACATTAATGTCGTCACAGTATTGCGAACTAAATCCACTAAAGAAGCGTTCTGAAGACAGTTTGGGAGGCCAACAAAATCTCCCTTTGAATAATTATAAACTATTCGCTCGGTGGATTGTTTTGGTCGTTGATGCAATATTAAGTCAAAACATATAGCTTTATGGTCCGAGTGTAAGGAGATGGAATCATCATCAGTAATTTCAAAGTTGTCAGTCATTTCAAAGTTGTCATGATTCGTAGTGAGAACCAGGTCGATGATATTATGGCCACGAGTAGATGAGTTGATTAATTGCAAGTAACTAAAGTCAGTGATAAGGTCAATAAAACCAATTTCTGATCCTATGGTAGAAAAACCCGATCTATCAGACCATTGAATATTGGGATAATTAAAGTCGCCCATTAAAACAACATCTTTAAATTGAGAATCAGCAACAAATTTCAAGAAACGGTTCAGTTCGTGCAGGAAATCAATTGAGGAATCAGGAGGGCGATAACACACAGCGACAAGAACTTTTTTGGATGACGAATTAATCACAACAGAAGCAAGTTCCAATGAATCTGAAACAAAGTCAGTTGGTTCAGTTCTGACAGAATCTTTCACAGCTAACAATACACGGCTATTAGTAAAACACGGAGCACGGAGCACACGGAGCACGGAACACACGGAGTACGGAGCACACGGAGCACGGAGCACACGAAGTACGGAGCAGTAGGAAAACGAAAATCCTTTATAATAAAATACACTGTTTATTATTACAAATTTTTGTTATTATTAACAAAGTTTTTTCGCGTATTACACGTTGGGGAAGTAGGAGAATGGGGCTTTTACTGAAAAACACATATGATGCAAAACCAGGCTGCCAAAAGCCATAGTATTTAAAATGGGATTGTGAAACTCGTTATCTTACATCTATCAAGCTTATGAGTTATATTATATTCCGATGGGCAACACATAAAGAAACACTTACTGTAGAGAACAGCCGATATATTTCGTTACCCCTGCCAAAAAATAGCCAAGTATACTCATCTTTCAATGTAGCGGGTCGACTGAACATCAAATCTTGTGACGAGAAAAGTGAATTTTCGGTTTATCCTTCGGCTCAGTGACCGGTGGCAGTCAGCTGTACGGCCGGCTAAGTTTAAACCGTTATACAGTACATCATTACTGCTTTCATTCTTTCAATTCGTTTTGAATATTCGGAATCATTCACAATATTATAAAACTGTATAAGATAGCTGTAGAACTATAAATGTTGTAGAATGAAATAAATAAAGAAAAGTAAGTTTTCAAATCGCGGTATTTGCCGATAAATCGGTAATCGCTACAGAAAAACAGAACAAATTACAGTATTAAAATCACAACAAACCGCGGAAGTGGGACAATCTTTGTATTTTTACTGTAAGACATGTAGAACATGTACGAAATCCATACAGAAGTGTGTGTGTATTCTATACTTTTGAAACAACTAAATCAGACTTCGGAAAATTTGACCGTATTAAAGCTGCTTTTGGGAATTTAGAATTTAGGTCTTCGTTTTACATGTACCCAGACCAGTAAATATTTTTGAGTTTTGAATTTTGTGTATAAATCAACACCAACGCCTCAAAGGCGAAAAGGAGGGCAAGATTGTTAGAATTGCTATGGTAAACATGAGCAGTTTCGAGCATAAACATGAAATTGAAACGAGTAATTTTTACACATCTGATTGACTAAGTTCAGGAAGCCATTTAAGTGTACGCGTATTTGTTACAATTCCGATCAACTCTGCCGTGCAGCACGGCAGAGCCAGAGGCAGAGGCATGCAGAGTAAATTGTAAACAAATTGTAAGCTTGTGAGAAACAAAGTTCAAAACTCAAAAATATTTACTGGGTACATGTAAAACAAAGACCTAAAATCTAAATTCTCAAAAGTAGCTTTAATACTGTCAAATTTTCCGAAGTCTGATTTAGTTGTTTCAAAAGTATAGAATACACACACACACTTCTGTATGGATTTCGTACATGTTCTGCATGTCTTACAGTAAAAATACAAAAATTGTCCCACTTCCGCTGTTTGTTGTGATTTACTGTAATTTGTTCTGTTTTTCTGTAGCGGGTTACCGATTTATCGGCAAATACCGCGATAAAACGTAGTTTTCTTTATTTATTTATTCTACAGCATTTATAGTTCTACAGCTATCTTATACAGTTTTATAATATAATAGTGAATGATTCCGAATATTCAAAACGGATTGAAAGAATGAGAGCAGTAATTATGTATAACGGTTTAAACCGTAGGCCGTACAGCACACTGCTCACTGGTCACTGGGACGAAGGATAAACCGAAAATTCACTTCTCTCCATGACAAGCTTTTATAATGTTCAGTCGATCCGCTACATTGAAAGATGAGTACTTGGCTATTTTTTGGCAGGGGTAACGAAATATATCGGCTGTTCTCTAAGTGTTTCTTAATGCGTTGGCCATCGGAATATAATATAACTACATAACTCATAAGCTTGATAGATATGAGATAACGAGTTTCACAGGCACAATCCTATTTTAAATACTATGGCTTTTGGCAATTTTGCATCATATGTGCAGTAAAAGCCCCATTTTTCTACTTCCTCAACGTGTAAAACGCGATAATAATATATTAATAAGAACAAAAATTTGTAGTAGTAAACAGTGTATTTTATTATAAAGGATTTTCGTTTTTCTACTGCTCCGTAGTTCGTGTGCTCCGTGCTCCGTGCTCCGTGTGCTCCGTACTTTGTGCTCCGTGTGCTTCGTGCTCCGTGTGCTCCGTGTTTTACTAATAGCCACAATACACCACCTCCCCGTTTGCCAGTTTGTCGATCACGCCTAAATAACTTGTATCCAACCGGTAAAATTTCATCATTTCGTACATGATTGGACAGCCAAGTCTCTGTCAAAGCAATAACATCAATACTGTTGCCATAAACAACATCTTGTAGACAGGATAACTTATTCAGGACGCAATTTGTGGTAGAGTCACGATAATTTGCCTTTAAACTTCTAACGTTCTGATACCAAAAGTTAAGCGAACCATCGGGCCCGGGATTGGTTTGAACGTCGTCGGATAAACTGATCAGAGTAAATGATAAGTAGCAGGTATAAAGTAGAAAACGGCATCCAGAAACAGGTTTCTGAGAAGAACTTGACAATGACCGCCGTTGTTTTACCGTAATCCAGTGAGCATGACTATTAACCAACGTTTTTACAATGGTGTCGGTGACATTGGTACTTGCGTACAACAGCTTGTGGCTAGATGAACCCGAGGATAGACTGCTATTGTTTATCCAAAGATAGAAGCCATGGAACGATATCAGAAAGTAAGTAAAAATTAACAATTTTTTAGAACAAACAGATTTCAGATCAGTATAGCCATGAAATTTATAAAATTATCTATACTCGCGGATAAACTGAATATCAAGTGAATATCACTGAATATCACTGAATATCATTGTAACTGAATATCATTTACCACGGTTGCCAACTTCTACCAACAAGAATATGACATGTATTATGGACATTTTAATTTTGAGAACGGCTATATCTTGGTTGTATTGTTTATTGCCACTCCGGCGAAAACCAAATCACTATTTAAATATGAAGAAGAATATTGGAAACTGTTACTAGTTCTCTTGAAACATTCTCTATCCTAAAAGAAATATTTTTCAACCCAGAATACAATACTGACATAAAACACAGCGGAAATTTGATGGAACACCAGATACTATATATCACATTATTTCACAGTGATACTTATCCCAAGCCTTCTGGGAACCAGATGTGCAAGTGTGTTCTACTTATGCATTTGAAGTAGAACTGCATACGATCATATAATTAATAATATATACTGTAGACTAAACCAAATATAATTAGTATATATAATTAGTGTACTGGAGATATATCTTTCATTTCTGATTTGTATATACAGTATTTTGTTACTCTTTGCCAAAATGCCAAGGTTATAATGCCACGGTCCAATACCACGCCTCATCAACTTCCTACATCATGCACCCCAAGCAATTCTTTTGCTGCCCTTTTCCTTTACCGACGGAGCGAACGCCTTGAGCAGGCATCTTGTTTTAATATGTCAAGCTGTATTTCCGGTCGAGCCGTCGATTATATATTCTGAAATACAGAAATAAAAGTTGCAAATCTGTAGATAGAAACTTGAAAATAACACTCTAAATAGTGTCTTGGATTGTGATTCGAACAAGAATATTACGAAAAAGATAGGTTGAAAGGGGCCAAAGTTATGTTCGGAGAAAGGTATGGCTTAGTGATACATTGTCGTACATTGTTTACATTGTTCGATTGTATTGTATATGGGAAAAGTATGGTTAGTTTACATTGTTCGAGTATGGCTAGTTTATACTTTATGGCTATTTCACATTGTTCGAGTATATAGTATCTACTGCAAATACTCGCGGAGTTCTTTATAATAACGTCGGATCGGAAATCTCAAGGCCGGATGGCATTGATAAAACCATTTATCGTAAACAGTTCGGAAACTTTCGTAGATGCGCGGGCTTCAGCCTAACCAAAGAGCCTGTTCGCAGGAGAAGTGAACCGTTCATTCTATATATATAACGATATAACTAAACCTCTTGTCGACAGCATATGGCGACTACTGCTCCAGTAGACGCCAAAAATGCAAATGTATTATACTATCATGTCAACTATATTTTATTGTTAAAGTGTAGTTATTTGGCTAATTTAAAAATTTTTTTTGAATAGTTTCGGTTGTGAATAAAATTTGTTTATAAAAGCCGTTAAAAACCCACAACACCTGATCATTCACTCTGAGATTGGGCCGTGACCAAACTAATGACTGATATAAAATTATATATTCGAAGTGTATGAAATTTAGAAAGTTTACAATAATTACAGTTCAAATTGTAGCGAATATCTCAAAACGATCGAGAAACGGACGATCGTGACTGAAACACCACACGAGTACATACGAGTAACATACGAATAACACACAGGTACATACGAGTACATACGAGTACATACGAGTAACATACGAGTACATACGAGTAACATACGAGTAACATACGAGTACATACGAGTAACACACGAGTACATACGAGTAAAACACAAGTACATACGAGTACATACGAGTAGAATACGAGTAAAATACGACTAGTAAACTTGTTTTTAGTGTTTGTAGATTGAATACAGGCAAAAAGATCGTCTTCTCTGTCGAAAAACGTGAAATAGACTGAAACCGGCTATCTTTAAAACCCGGAATGGGGGGACGGGGAATGGGAGAACGGGAAGTGGGGGAACGGAGGGAATGGAGGGGCGAGGGGGGAGGGAGGAAATAGGAGACAGGGGGCTGGGGAGGTCTGCCAGATTCTATAAACCACAACTTTGTAGTTTGTACAACATCTACTTTTAGGTATTCTACCTAGATAGTTAGATACATGACACAAACCATGGGCTTCACATATTTCACGGCATGGTTTGCTTTCAAAACCCTGTGAGCATGCACAAAACCTAACTCACTAACTGCATCTATATAAATAGTTGTCGAATAAAGCTCAATATTTTGGACACAAAAATGTAAACAAAGGCTTTGTTTACATACGGACTGTAGATCACCTTTAACAATAATTTATCCATTACTTATTATTAAAGGGGGATAGCAATGGCCGTGGGTCACGTGTGTGGTCGACATACCGCGAATGAATAGGGGGGTCTGGAGGCATTAACTCCCCAGAAAATTTTTGAAATTTCAAGCCCAAAAATGCCATTTCCTGCCGTCTGAGCATCTAAATTTTCTAGAATTTATCCTAACTATACTTCTATTTGAAATAAAAGAAGGAAAAAATACACAAAGAATTTAAAAAATATTAACAATAATTTATCATTACTTAGTGTTAGAAACACGTAGGATGCCACGCGGTGACACAGTCCTTTAAATCGATTTTGTTAAACAAGGACAAAGGATAAAGCCTAAAACGTGCGTTCCGTTTATCAATTTGTTATTCTTCGCTGGTTTGTTTGTATAAATTTAGGAAAAAGGGACTCTTCCTCAGGGCCTTTTTTAACATACAAGCTGGGGGGGCAAATGCCCCCCCAGTCCCCCCTTTTGCCCCCCACGAAATCACATTTTGCCCCCCCAGGAAAAGTCCCTTTTTCCTAAAATTATACAAACAATCCAACGAAGATTAACAAATAGATAAACGGAAAGTAAGTTTTAGGCTTTATCCTTTGTTCTTGTTTAACAAAATCGATTTAAATCGTTACTTTTTTACCACTAAGTAATGGTAAATTATTGTTAATAATTTTTTTATTTTTTGGATGCTAACAATGCAGGAAATAGCATTTCACGGTTTCAAATTTCAAAAATTTTCTTGGGATTATCCCTCTAATAAGTAATGATAAATTACAGTTAATATTCTTTTTTACTTTTTGTGCATTTTTTCCATCTTTTATTTCAAATACAAGTATAGTTAGCATAAATTTTAGAGCAAATTTGGATGCTCAGAATGCAGGAAATGGCATTTCCGTGCTTCAAATTTCAAAAATTTTCTGGGGGAGTACACCCCCACACACCTGACCATTGCTATCCTCCTCTAATAAGTAATGATAAATGATTGTTAATTTTTGTTACTTTTTGTGCGTTTCTTCCTTTATTTATTTCAAATACAAGTATAGTTAGGATAAATTTTGGAGCAAATTTGGATGCTCAGAATGCAGGAAATGACATTTCCGGGAGTCAAATTTCAAAAATTTTCTGGGAGAGTACACCCCCAGACCACCCCCCATTCAAGCGTGGTATATTTGCCAAACACGTGGCTTTCAGTCATCGTTATCCCCCTCTAATATATTATCTCGCAGAAAGGTCCCTTTTCAAAAAATGCCCCCCCACGGGAAAATCCTTAAAAAAGGCCCTGTGGCAGGGTACTGAAAAGGTAGGTTGTGCACATACATTCTAAATAAATACTGCCACAAAAACCTGGTAGTTAACAGTTAAAAGTTAAAACCAATCACGAATTTCATTATTTCAAAGTAATATAAAACAAAACAAGTCGGGAAAAGGATTTTGAACCCAAGATGAGACACAATTTATAATACAGCATGAGAATGAGTTTGAATATAAAGAACAACAAAAAAGAGGATACAAAGCTACTGTGATATTGTTGAAATTAGCAATATTATACATTTGCTGCTTATAACGGTAGTTTTTGACATAATGTATTTATATGCTTTTCCATCGAAATGGCAAGTTATAAAATTTGCCCGAAGCAGCCCAAGCTTTGGCAAGCTAGAACTTAAAAAAAGTAAAAGAAATAAAACTTTTGTGAATCTTACCTGAAAACAAGAAATATAATAATCCTTTCGAGTGAATTGTTTCATCTACAAGCAGACTAAAAACTTAAAACTAACACACTTTTTTCTCGACTGCAAAAATATCAAAATGTTCAGTCGAAACTCGAAAATTATGATCAAAATGTTTGCAAAAACCAGGGGGGTGAAGGATTTTACTTCAAGCGTAGGATCGCGGTTGGTCAGTGGTAATTGCCATGAGCCGGAGGAACCAATTGGCGTCAGCAAACATGAAAATCCGCCATGTTTTTCCGGACACTCGTTTGACTGAAGGATAGATAGGAGCACGTCCTCCAGTAATATTATAGCTCAGTGATATTAATAGGTTGGTCAAGGAATAATCATATCCTGGAGCTAAGTTTGGTAAAAATTACTATTATTTATTGTTTTGAATAAATCAAAGATTTTAAATGATAGAATGTTGAGTTAAGTAATTTACAGGGCTTTCAGAGGGAATTTATAGAATTTATATTGGTCCAAAAATAAGGGTTTATAAGCCATGTTTTAACAGGAATTGGCAGACACCACCTGAATTAAAAGGGGCTAGTTTCGCCCCTGGATATAGCTCTTATAGCAGATACCATTTAGTGTAACTCATAATTAGACTTAAAATAGAGTTAATTTGTTTATTTTGTGTTCGTGGCGAAGAGTTTTCAAACGTTTTCACCCGTTTTCAAAATTACGCGATCAAGGACGAAAATGCTAGAGTTGACACGTCAGTTTTATGTCATTCGGTCACGAACTACACGAAGTTTAAACTTTGAGTTTTGCGGTTCCTTGTCGATGTATATGCTTTGTATGCTTTATATAAACAGGCTTACAATGATTTCAAGATATTTTTTAGTGGGAATTATTGCAAAATTTAAGCACAAACAAAATCATAACATCACCGTCAGGGATGCCGGAACCACGGGTGCAGCGGGTGCAAGTGCACCCCTTGCCTTTTCAACTTTGTGGGTGCAGTGCGGGTGCAGACTCAATGGGTGTATCGGGTGCACAAAACTTTTACAGCAGACAGAATTAAACGTCGCTTGAGGATGTGTGTGGGGGTGTTCCACCCCGCAGTCGTCAGGAATTCGGCAAAGTTCAGTGTTATCCATTTGGCGAAAGGTGAAACGGAAAGCATTACTTATGGAATTTTTATTGAAGCATTACGGAGGAATTGTGCCTAAATAATTGTATTCGGTCCGAAAAAAATTGAAGACGGGGAGGGAGGTCGACACGAATGTTGGATCATGAAGCCATTACATTTTCATTGGTGCCCTTTTCTTATGGAGTATGCCCTTTTGTTAACCAATTGCACCCCTTGCCCTCAGCAACTTCCGGCATCCCTGATCACCGTTCTAGCGCGCGTGTTTTATACTGACAGCTATATTCCAGGATAAATTGCAACCACGAGGTTGGATAAATTGTTATTTTTCAAACTTTAAAAGTTATTCACGACACATATTTCTGTTGTGATGGTTTGTATTGTGCTTGTATCTAACTCATTTTTGTTCAGTTTTGGTATTAAATACGGTTTAAAATGTCTTTAAAATGATTTTTAGAAACTTCCTCGTATGACAACAATAAAAGTTAATAACACAAATATTTAAAAGGCAAATTCGATTAGAGTATTCATTTCATATTTCTCGCAAATTTGTAGACACCTTTATTTAATACGCCCTCTTCCCCACGAACACAAAATAAACGAATTAACTCTATTTTCTTCTAATTATGATTAACACTAAATGGTATCTGCTATAAGAGCTAGCCTATATCTATACAGGCATACAACTATTTACATGAAACGGCTACACTTGATATACGCACGAGTTTCCTCGACAATAGTGGCACAAAGTCCCACATGGCTGAGCGTGCTCCTAAGATTGAACGCTGTTCATCAGTTTATTTCAAACAATAAATAAATAATAGTAATTTTTACCAACCTTAGCTCCAGGATATGATTATTCCTTGACCGACCTATTAATATCAGCAATTCCCGCCAAAACTCTCACGACTGAGTGCAATTCCCGCCAAAACGTTTACGACTGAGTCAGTACAGGACTGAGTCCATGTACCGTCGCTTGCAGGATGAACGGTCGTTGATAAAAATATTGCCTATTCGCGTGAGAATCTTCGATGTTTGTCAAGAGCACTTGACAGGTTCTGATCTGATGTTAATTAATCTGTTGAACAACCAGATCCAAGCTTTGAAACCACCAAATGATCATAAATGATCATCAAAATCATTGAACTTTCTCGGTAAAAACATTGAACTTTGTCATGAGAATAGACAATACTTTACTGCGACCGTTCATCCTTAGTGCATTCAGTAAATGGGTCCACCTTTTACAAATCGCAGCCCGCGATTTGTAAAACACGGACTCAGTCCGCGTTTTACAAATCGTAGTTTGCGATTTGTAAAACACGGACTCAGTCCGTGTTTTCCCGGTCCAGTCCAGTCCGTGTTTTACAAATTCAGTCCGCGATTTGTGAAACACGGACTCAGTCCGCGTTTTCCCGGTCCAGTCCAGTCCAGTCCGGTCCAGTCCAGTCCAGTCCGTCTTTTACAACATGCCGGCTGCAACACGCAATGTTGACACATTATCCTGAAGTCAACAAAATGTGGAAATCGACGAAAAACGAGCCAAGAAACAGTTATTGAGCTAATCAATCAAATAAATACTTGGCATAAGTTTGAAGGTCCATAGTCCAAATATTTGATGAGTTTCTTTAGCCCATTTATACCAACAAATTTTAAAAATTCCCTGTATTTAGATATTCGCCATATTGATCGCCACGCTGTTTGGCAAGAAATCGACATGTCAACTTGTCCCGGCCCGGAAATGCCCTGTTTACTTGTTACACAGGATATTAATAAGTTAATGTGAAAATATGAAGATAAAAGTATCTTTTAAAAAATAAAACGTCTCAAACCTCGATTTGAAAGGCTTTTAAAAACGCTAATCCGTTCGGAACCTACAAATTCGAGGGGTGGTATTTAAGCTTGCGCAAGGCAAAGTTTGAAGACCCATATCTTCGCAATCACGCAATTAATCAAAAATCGCCACGAGGAAGTTGAGGAGAATTTTTTTAAGAACAACCTATATGAATTTCATGGCAAATAAACGAAAAACCGCTTGCAGAAAAGCTCTGAAGTAACCCCATATTTTTGTTTACAAATTTCATGTGATGAGGCGTTTTACGCATTCTGATTGGCTTAATTAGGGCAAAAATGTAAACAAAAGCGGTGATTGGTCGAGAACGAAATTCCCCCTTGTTGCCTACCGTTGTAAAATAAGATTAAATAATAATAATAAAAATAATAAAAATAATAATAATAAGTGAACTGCAATTGTTAATCGGATTAAAATTATACCATGCATAGCCATTGAAATCACTGCCTGAAGACTAAATGGTTTCAGAAAAGATCCGAAACGGAGGACAAAGATCCGAAAGTTCGGTCTGACACAACAGTAATAATTTTGATACGCCTTCTCTAGCCTATATTGTATAGATTCAATAATAATATTAATTTAAATATATCTCTTTAATCATAATTAAACCTTTTCTTCATTTCTTTCTTTCATTAGCCTATACGATAAAAAATACGCTTTGTGTACAAAATGAAATTATCTCTATCCTAGCACTGACTACATGCAGTAGTTAAATTACATATTACAGGGATCAATTCGAAACATATTTGAAGCTAGCCTTTCGGCTGCCATAAGGTCTGTCAAGGATTAAAAATACCCCCAACTTATCTCTGAAATGAAATTCTAACAGACAATAATATCGAATTTAAATCAGGAAATTCAAAAATGCACAGCCATTGCCCATTTGGAAAGAAAAAGCTAAATTTACAAATTATTAACTTGTTACGGCATGCATACAAAGTCAAAGTAATATATATAATTGTAATGTATACTTAGTGCAGCATTCATTTACGTGCAGCATGTAAAGCAGTTCACTGTTCGTACTGCATATTATACGCTTTCAATATAAATATCGAGATTTGTGGGGATTTCGCTCGGTGGAATATAACTGTTGAGAGATTTTTGTAGATGGAAGTTTCGAGGACAAGATTGTATACATTTATTAGATCTATAAACAGGAGCAGTTGCGAAAAAATGCAACTATAGGCCCTCTATATAGCCAGTATATAATTATGTTATGGGCCAGTATATATGTTATGGGCCAGTACATATGTTATGGGCAAATATCGGGATTTTGGGGCATCTCACACTCGATGGAACTAACAGTTGAATGATTTTCGTACATGGAAATTTCGAGCAGAAGAATAGCAGGTTGAAGAATAGCAGATTGAACAACACCAGAATAGCAGAATGAAGAATAGCAGATGGAACAACACCAGAATAGCAGGTTGAAGAATAGCAGATTGAACAACACCAGAATAGCAGAATGAAGAATAGCAGATGGAACAACACCAGAATAGCAGAATGAAGAATAGCAGATTGGACAACACCAGAACAGCAGAATGAAGAATAGCAGATTGGACAACACCAGAATAGCAGATTGAAGAATAGCAGATTGAACAACACCAGAATAGCAGAATGAAGAATAGCAGATTGGACAACACCAGAATAGCAGATTGAAGAATAGCAGATTGGACAACACCAGAATAGCAGAATGAAGAATAGCAGATTGGACAACACCAGAATAGCAGAATGAAGAATAGCAGATTGGACAAGCAAAAGACCAAAATGTGTTTCTTACCTCCCAACAAAGCGAGCAAGAGAAATCCTTTCAGTATCGTAACTGTTAATTGCATCTTTGAAAACGTAGAACCAGGATCAAGCTGAACTGAATTGCCAAAACTTCCTCAGCGTTTGTGATAATTACAACTTGCACACCTTATTAAATACGCTTGCATTTTCGGCGCATGGGCTCGGTTGCTGTAGGAAAGTGCTGAAACGTATGCCAAAAAGCAATTTATGTCATTATGACTGACAGTTAGTGTTTCAGCAGGGATCGTGCATGTGAACCTTTATTGTGGCTTTGATTTAACAGAACTCCAAAGTTTACACAGCCATATAGTGTCTAATATTAGATAGTTTACTTATAGTGCATTATCTGGATTGTTTAATTGATCTGTCGCTTTGTGAATTTTAACTAAAATTGTTAAATTTACAATTTCAGCGTTAAGTCTGCACTAATTTAATAATTTGAAGTAATTTAATTCATAATTTATACGGCACATGATGCGTGCATATGCATAGATAAATTGCTTTAATGAATTTTAGCGGCCCATCATCACTGAGGTATTTGGGGCACTTATAGCTTTCAAAGGCTATCCGGCCGAATAATGAAACATATCTTTTACAACATACATAAATTTATAAAATACACAAGCTCTTCGGATCTTGAATGGAATTTCAATTCCGACCATCATCCCAGGCAAGAACTTTGCCGTTGACACTGTCCGCTTATTTAAAATTACAGCTGATCATGTTATCGCCACATAATTACCACTGGTGGCCTGAGAAATGCGTGAGGCTATTAGCAGCTATGAATAAATTGTTTTTAATTGCAGAAGAGAACGTGTAGACATTGTATGTAGTGTTTGAGAAAATGTATTTTGGATTTATATACCATAATTAAAGTTTTAATAGTATGTGAAATATTTCGATTTGTTCCACAAATACGAACTAAATGAAAACTTAATCTATCAGTCTAAACAATAGGCTTCTAGTTGCTACTTAATATGTCTAGTCGAGATCATCTTTAAAAGTCCTCCACACGCAGTGACAGCAGAAGGAACCCAGATATACGTGTGAAAAAATTAAGTACATGCAGTGACTGACTAGAGTCATTCTCCTTACAAGGCGACTTATACTCATACAATCTTATCGCATATTGTAACGAGACTAACGAGGGTCTTGTTCATGTGGGCGCAGCTCACCTAACCGGGAAACTGACCTGATTGAGATCTGCCTGGCCTTTGATGTGTTCATATGAGAAACGAGTGAGCCTGGCTAGGTAAGATGTCACCTGGCGTTAAGTAGGCTCTCAGTAAAGTGGGATAAAATTTTCCCCTTACCGAGGCTTTATCCCACCTGACAAGGATGTCATTTTTTTCAAATTTGGATCTAATATAGTAATAAACGGGCATAGTTGCAAAAATGAAATGGACATTATACATAGATCAAAACAGACACTATTGAAGTCGTACTAGAATTAAGGTACGGTTTATGATTTTAGGTGGAATTAAAGCAGTCATCATAAATGCACGTATGAACATAGCCATAGAAACAATTCATTCCACTCATGTGACAAACCGGGCTCATATAAACAAGCCCTCAGAGCTCGAGATTAAAGGTATCCATGCACTAGTACCGAAATGGTAATTTGTTTGGAAACTGGATTTTTCCCCACACCATTTCTAAATAGACCTTTCAACCAGCCTAGACCTTCTATTTTTATTTTTATTTTTAATATTTAGCGTTTTTTCACATGAGGAGACTTGGACCAAGGCGATTTGGG